CGTAACAAAATACAATTAAAATATTGGAGCAGCAAAAAACATCAGACGAAGATAACAGGCTATACGCAATGTATGAATAATAATGTTCATGTGCAAAATGTGTACTATATTGGTAAATGCATATTATTATAGAGTAGTAAAATAATATCTTTTATTTCTCTCCATTTAACGACCACTCTTTATAACGCCGAAAAATGTTCAGTCCCCTAAGTGTCGTTATATAGAGTTTACACTGTATTTTGGATTAGGCGCAAAGTGGAGGTGGGTGTCTAACAAGTCTGATCATGCTCGTCATATTTTGACAACATTCCCAATTTTGTGTCCCAAAAACTGTTTCTGTATAACATCCAGTTTTAATTCCTAAAATGGGATGTTGTGCTGTTTTATTCATTTTTGAATGTTCAAGTTATTTTTTGCATGGAATATATAACTGAGGGAGGGTTTTTTTGAATTTCATAACCAAAATTTTTAGAAATTTCAATGTTACTGCAAGTGTGCTTTACTAATGTTTCGTTAGCACCAGTGGTGATCTTCTTCAAAGGTCCTTCTAGTTCCGATGCTGGATATAGAGGTCGAAGGACCTCTGAAGAAGCTCGCCATTCATGCTAGCGAAACGTTAAAAAGCAACTCCAACCGACAACGACCTTTACATCCGAACCAGGCAGCGTCAGATCACCTACTCCCTACTGGCCAAGAAAACCTTTACCAATTTGTCTGCCATTGGTTTGTTTTGCGTTTTTTTGTTTACGGAAACCTTCTGACCAACTGTTCTTGTCACTTACCAAGTAGCAGTCGATCGGTTTTTCCAGCGGTCTGCTGTAGGCCTTTTGTAGTTCAGTTTGCCGAAGTGCATGGGCTATGTGGAGGGCGCTAGCGTCAAATCGTCCATATCTATAACCGGGCGAATCGCTATGGGTGTTCTGGGGACACAAATTGGGGCTGTACATATGTTTCCGGTCGCCATGATGCGGGGGCGACGCGTGATTGCCATTTACGTGTGTTCTTCCGTTTAAAACTGAAAAGAAGAAAATCGGTTGCGTTATTTAACAACAAGTAATTGCAAGTGCAGAAAAATGTTACACAATTTTTTCCAAATCGGAAACAAAATGTACAGTTACACCTGAAACAAATTCGAATTGAATATTATGAAGCGGTTACAGTATTTTATACTGTTGTACCATCTAGATAAAATTGACTGGTGTTACATAATATGATCTATTGTTAGAGATTATCGGGGAATTTCAAGGTTAAATTACTAACAATTTTAAATAAATGTGCGACGAAAGCAAAGTTGCGACCTTAAAGTAGTATATTACACGGAGAAAATGAAAAAGGAAGATTTACCTAAATATTAAGAAAACAATATTTTTCTTTCTTTCTACTCGTGCAGTTTTGAAGATGAATCAGTCTCTTATGTTCACAAAGTTTGTAGACGGTCTCACGAACTTGTCAAACTGAATCTACAACGCAGCGTGCTGATGAGACCTGATAAGTTCGAAATCGCAATCTTCGTCTGGTGATTGCTGACCAAAGACTTTTGTTCTCAGTAACATTACTTCTTAGCAAAAGACTTCCGGATAATGAGTTCTGTTCTCATGTATTTGTCACAAAAACTGAATATACGCCAGGTATATATTAGGTCACAAGGAACAAGTAAAATAATATAAGTGTATTTACGATAATTTCTGAGGGTAGGTATTAGAGAGAGTAAATACCTGCTTTTACTGGAAATAGTCTTAAAATACCTACCACAGGTACTAGAATTCGAATATTTTTTTTGTGGTTCATTGTGCTAAATAAATTCTGCATTTTGCTCGTATACGTGTCGAGTTAGTCGGTGCACACGCATAAATTTACATATTTTTAGAATAGTGAAAGAGAGAGACTAGGGCCGAAACGAAATTGGCCTGAGACTTAACAATGAGCTTATCGTAATGGTGTATTCGTATACCAGGTATAATGGTACGAACAACGTGCAGCTATGCGTTACCAATTATTCTTCTATCCGATTGAAAGAAGATTACTAGAACAGAACAANGTATTTTTTAAACAATTAATTATTCTATTCGCAAATTCTTAGACACATAGGGTTCATATGTTTTATGGAAACAGGTGTAGGTAGCCTGAATTTTTTTCACATGGATCAAGGATGAATAAATTTTAAGTTCCTTATAGGGGTTTTGATTCCTCGACTGTTTTTTTTTCGGAACTCATGAATTCTCAACCTAAAATTCCCAGCAACTCAAGAAAATTTTCTTTTCACCTTCTCAGGCATGATGGTCTAGTCAGAGACATATTAGAGACAGAAACGGAAGTTAGGAGAGGTAGAGGTAGACCTAGATTAGATTACTGTTCGCAAATAGTTAAGGACATGGGTTGGTCTAGTTTTAGGGAAATGCGAAGATTAGCTCAGGATAGGAAAGAGTGAGATGCGTGTTCAACCAGTCTTAAGACTGACGACCTGATAATGACGATAATGAGGTATTTTAGTTGATATTACAAATTTCATTCTAATAATTAAGAAACTTGAAATAATTTTTAAAGAAACATGTCAAAATTAAGCTTATTACAAGTTAATTAATAAATTCTGCTATTTCAATGACAAATTCAGTCATTTACTAATCAATATCATCTTATCTGCCCTCTATTTCATCATGTATCTATGCTCGCGAACGGTTAATTTAGAAATTCGGAAAAGGTTGTTAAAACTTTATGTGAAGCACGTCGCTGTATGGGTGCGAAACCTGGACAGTAGGCGCGGCGGAAAAGAAAAGGTTGGAAGCGTTCGAAATGTAGTGTTACAGACGAATGACGAGGATACCATGGATAAAGAAAGTTAGAAATGAAGAGATATTAAAAAGAGTAGAACAGAGGACTTTATGGAAGTCAATAAGAAATAGGCGAGATAGGTTGGTAGGACACCTTCTCAGGTACGAAGGTCTAGTCAAAAACAAAAGTTAGGAGGGGTAGAGGTAGACCTAGGTTAGATTACTGTTCACAAATAGTTAAGGATGTGCTCAGTTTAGCTCAGGATAGGAAAGAGTGGAGGTACGTGTCCAACCAGTCTTAGGACTGACGACCTTATGATGATGAATGGATAAAGTTCATATTAGTCTTAACAAATTTCCACCAATAGGGAATGCTTATAAAGAGTGAGCCAGAACCTTCAATACAGATCCTTCTTATAGTTAACAACCTCTTTAAAGAAAAGATTTTTAAATTTTTTTTTTAAGTTTTATCTTACCTTCTGATTCGGCACTTGCCCTTCCCGAAGGTACTCTGATCTGTTCGTTGACAAAATTAGTCGATTTCGGTACGTTCAAGGCGCACCTGATACCGACACAAGATCCATCTAAATGTCCGGGTCCAATTTTGGGCACATGACTGTTACAGTACACCTCCTTGTCCTCCTGCCGGTGCTGGTTGTTGTAGTATGTCTTTAGGGTAAGTTTCGTGCCGCAAATGGCGCACTTGAAGCAACCGCTGTGAAAGAAGGTGAAATCTTTGAGCGGCCCGACGCGATCGACTTGGTACACGGTCTCGTTGCATCTTAAACACGTGCTCTCGTAAAAATTGGGACGGTACTTGTTGTGATACGAGCTCGTACTTTGCAACATTCTTGTGGTGGTCGGTCGCTTACAACGCGAGTTGATCTGAAAGTAAAATTAAAATTGATTTTTGGTACTTCCTTTTTATGAGACGTTAATGTTAGAGATCGCAACGGAAGTCAATAGGGTGATACGACATGTTCTATGGGTTAGTTATATAGAGTGTCCCAGTTATAATAATTAATATTTATACCACAGATTCCTAGGGACATTTGGAACATAAAACGTTATAACACTTTTGACTTTTGAAACAAAATAAAAAATTATAACAGTTTTGATGCCGGCCCTGCACAATCGCAAATTAATTACGATTGCCAGCTGATCGTAGAAAAATTCACCTTCAGTAGGTAGGAATCAGCTGCTTTTGGGGTAATGCTATTGTTTATGTTTGGTAATAAGTTACGGATCAGCCGAAGAAAATGCACTTGCGTTAAGGTCCGTTAGATGACTGAACATGTTAGAAAAACTACGTATCCATCACAATCGAAAATCCCATGATCGTAAACTGAAGTGGACCTAATGTAGCCCATAACGTCGTGTATTATGTTATTTGAAATAGAAAAGAAATTATAACGACTACGGAATAGTTAAAAGCGGTGCAGAAATAACCCTAGCCACCCAGCGTTTGGTAAATCTTTCTACTAGTGTACGAAAACAAATGTATGTGTTATGGTTGTATCCAGGCCCGTAATGAAACAAATTCTACGTTCAAATTTACAAAGACGATTTGCGAGCTCAATTCTCACTAGATTGAAAAATTGTATAACACTTTTTTGTTGTATTTTGTGTCAGGAAGCCATGTTTTTTTTTTAATTATTACAAATGGGACACCCTGTATACAAATATATTAGAAGCAGGAACAGGAGTAAAGAGGAGCAGGTATTATCTAGGAAGCAACGTTTTTAAAGATCTCATTTAGAAGTAAAAATTATTGTTTTTAGATTGAATAAAATCTAACATGGACATAAGATTTAATCTAAAAACAGGATCAAAATTGATTTTTCCCTTGAAAAAGAATTCTTCGGGGTTCTTAACGTAGGAAATATTTGATAAGTTAATGTAAGAGCTTATTTAAAAATTTACAACTGATTTACGCCGTAAGAGACATTTGCCATTCGCCTGAAAGCAAAATCAAAATTGATTTTGTTTATTATAAAAGGCAATAGAAATTTGTTAGAACTAATTTAAAGGTTCATTTAAAATTGATTTTTCCTAAGGGACATTTTTGGATGTTACAACAGGCAGCAAAAAATTTTTTTGAAATTGTAAATAAGTATAAAAAGTAATTTTTAAAAAGAGTTACAAGAAAGCCCAAACGGTAATTCAAGATTTGCATAATGTGACGTCATAGACAAACGAATAGACCTACAGACACTAAGTACATAAATACATAGTTGTGAGGGTTGTGGTAAAGTTAGGCATAAATGCATTATTCATCCCTTTAAAAGTTCCCCTAATGAACTGTTGGTTGATACAATGAGTCACACTTGTTCATGCTTTATCGTTTTTTATCTTTATTAATTTTATTTTACTAGCGCAGGTATGTCAGTTAAAAAGTTAAAAACGTCTAACAAAGTCGAAAATAATATTTCCTTTAAAAGTTTAAGGTCCTTTTAACCTGTNGGATTCTACATACATGTGGACTATTTTATAAAAAGGAAATGTCAAATGTAGAAAGTGTACATGTTTTTACGTTATAAAACAATTACCATGTTTGGTTTTATTATTGATAAATTTTTTTAAATCGTATCATAATTTCTTGAAGTAAATGCCAATTTAGTGCAGTGTTAATCATTACGTTATAATTCCTTTTATCTCGTATTTTCTCATGCACCGAGAGCGAACACGAATTTTTTGACCTCGAAACTGTTATTGGTATTGCTGTTTCACCCACATATTCGATTAGATGACGTATTCATTAATGAATGCTTACATAAAAGACAAAATGTTCTAAATATACGTGTAAATAAATGTAGGTGGCAAATGTATGCTAAATTCTGCCTTAAAAATTAAAGGTTATTCTAACGGTACATACAAAAGCAAATATAAAAATATATAGGTAACCGCAATTTTAATTAAAAGTTATGCGTTACTTCCCTTGCATTGACCACCACTGCAAGGATGCAACATGTCTGCCATTGTTACATCACATTATTTACTTTGTTGACTACAAGTTAGAATCGTTTAAATATGAAATAAAAAAACGGACAGACAGGCATGAGTGATCCTATAAGAGTTCCGGGAGAGCTCATTCGGATGTACGGAACCCTAAACCGAGAAGCAACTTAATATTATAGTTAAAAATAATCATCCCCATACATTCAAACGCACAATATTGTTTTGTTGAATGATTTACCACGTTATTAATTTTCCTGTAATCTATAAGTAAAGAACTATTTTCTGTATTTTTTTTCAAAGTTTTAGGGGAAGGTCAATTTTCATCTATT